GCTTGTGTCGTATCGTGTCCAATCATGTGCAAAGTAACGATAAACGTAACTGTAAAATTCGTTACCGTTACCAAAAAAATGTAACTTCGTTACCGTTACAGTTACCAAAGAAAAAAAGTAACGCAGTTACTAGTAAAGTTACCAAAAAAGTAACTTGTAACTGTAACTTCGTTACAAGTTACTTCCATTCCCTGTGTTTTACACATCTGTGTAATGTACGAATGTGTAAGAAACACTAAACCAACTGCACAATTCACACAGATGACGGTGCTGCGCATGCGCATTGCGAACATTTATCCCTTACTACCTTTCTCTCTCGCACAGATGTTGGCTTCACGTTCAGCACCCTATTCCCCTTCCATTTATATATGTTCTAAGTTAACAACGCTGTCCCAACTAGAGTCCTAGATTTATCAAAGAGGCGCAACCGGCTTAAGTCAGTTACTACGTTTACACGGCACGCTTTACGCCGAAGTTATAACATCGATGTTGTGAAACTGGCCAGTCACAGTCATTCCATTCTTCAGAGGAATAGCTATTACTAGAGACCCTCTAACAGAGACTGGCCGTCAGGGTGCCACTTTTGATTGGTCCGCCATTTCCTAGCGATTCCCGCTCGTATTCAAATCTCAATTATTGTATTTACTTGAAATGTAAATAGGTAATGATAAATATTATAGAAATATTAAAACCGTACTTTTTACATCAATATAAATAATATACGTCGAAATAATGTCATTTTTTCTTAATTCTATTAAATCTTTTCCAATAAAATTAAAGTAAGGTTAGGAATTGACAAAAGTAAAAACACTTAAACATTTGTAAAATTTATTTAAAAAAGGTGTGTACTGCCAATGATTTACTATCATATCTTCTATTAATATTAGTATTTTTCTTACTCATTGTTCTTAATTTAAATACAACAAATCTTCTAATAATTTTAGAAAACAATTGATGGCAATTTAAAACATGTTTAGCTGTAACCTGACTAAAGACAGATATTAAATAATTTTTCCAGTTAATGTTTATAGTATTGAAATATTTAGTGTAATGTCTGAACATCTGTTCTAACAAAATAAATAGCTGAAATGTTTTTATATTAACATAATACAATGATTCTTTTGTATATTTCAGTTGTACCAATTTTATGAAGGAATAGCATATTGGTGTTTTTGATAGACAGACTACAGATTTTACGCAGTTGTCGCATGTTCTACATATTCTTATAATAGATTTTATGATATATCCAGCGATATTATATAAAGAATTTAATTGAAGCATTGTCAAATTTTTGGTCAAATTCTTATTAAAAGATGGAATTTGAACAATATTTTCTGAATTATTATTCAATTCCATAATACATCCTGTATTATCTTTTCGTCCTGATAAATACTCAAGGAAGCCTGATAAATATTCTTGTTCATCACAATCATAATTACTGTTGTCAATGTGATTCAGATGCAGGGAAACCGAAATTAATTTTAAGTTGTTTGTAAATTGTAATGCATCTGCTACAACGTTTTTTTGTCTTACTTGTGAAAAGAGGTTCTCAAGACAATCTTGATTAAATCGAGATGTCAAGACATAACTAAAATTTCTTTAAGTAATAAGATATTCAGTTAAGTCTAATACTGATTTAGTACTGATTATAATACCTCTTTGAACGGGTTTAAATTCTCCTTTACCAATTTTTAAGTTTGTAAAAATATCAATAACGGTATTTAAAAAAGTAATATTTTCGTTATATACACTTATATTTTTTCTTCCAAGGGCTAATTTACAATATCTTGATGACATAAGTGAGAACCATTTACAAACAATCCTGACAAACCAGGCGGTAGTAATAAAATCTGGTTTATTATTTTCACTTGCTAATAATTCAAGTGAACTACTCACATCATTTGAAAAAACATGTTTAGCTTTGCTTACTTTCATTTTGTTGAAATTATTACAATGAATATCATCCATCTTTAGTTTAGACGTTAATAAAAGTTCAGATTCACTTTGAATATTTATCAGTTCACAAAAATGTTGCAGTTCTATTTTATCTGAAGGTAAATTATACTTCATTACAATTTCATCAGAAAGAAATATTATTTCATTATTAACT